AAAAATTCAGCGACGGCCATTTTGAGTCTCAGCACAAAATGGCCGCCGCTTTTCCCGAAGAGTTCAGCCTCAGTTTGTGGGCGGGTCCAGCACCCCCCTTCCCCATGGGCGGGTCCAGCACCCCCCCTCCCCATGGGCGGGTCCAGCACCCCCCCTCCCCATGGGCGGGTCCAGGACGAGGTTTGTGGCCAGTACCAGTTTAATGTTCCATGAAAACAGTTCTCCACAAACTCCAGTACCAGACCGACCCTCAGTCCTGGTTAGTCCTGGTTTAGTTCTGGAATAATCCTTGGAACTCTGGTCTCAGTGGTTCAGTATCACAGACTTAAATATTTAAATTTTAATTTATTTAATTTATTTTTTGGGTTGCAGGTTGTTTTCCCTGGTGCCGTTGGGCCTGACGGGGTTGCGGGTTGTTTTCCCTGGTGCCGTTGGGCCTGACGGGGTTGCGGGTTGTTTTCCCTGGTGCCGTTGGGCCTGACGGGGTTGCGGGTTGTTTTCCCTGGTGCCGTTGGGCCTGACGGGGTTGCGGGTTGTTTTCCCTGGTGCCGTTGGGCCTGATGGGGTTGCAGGTTGCGGGTTGTATTTCTAGGTGTCTTTAGGCTCCAGTTTGCAGGACATGTCAAACAGGAGGTTCTGGTTGTCGATGACCTGAAGCTGTCGGACGTACGCCTTCGTCTGGAGGTGAGACGGAGACGTCTCTGTGTCCACAGCTACAACAGACAGGTGCGACAGGTGCGACAGGTGAGACGGGTGAGACGGGTGAGACAGGGAAGACAGGTGAGACAGAATGTCCTGAGGGACCGGGATCATCAGGGGGCAGTTCTGTTTCACACAGAGGGTCTGCAGGTCCAGTGTGCGAGGGTCCAGTGTGCGAGAGTCCAGTGTGCGAGGGTCCAGTGTGCGAGAGTCCAGTGTGCGAGGGTCCAGTGTGCGAGAGTCCAGTGTGCGAGGGTCCAGTGTGTGAGGGTCCAGCGTGCGAGGGTGTAGTGTGTGAGGGTCCAGCGTGCGAGGGTGTAGTGTGTGAGGGTCCAGTGTGCGAGGGTCCAGTGTGTGAGGGTCCAGTGTGTGAGGGTGTAGTGTGCGAGAGTCCAGTGTGCGAGGGTCCAGTGTGCGAGGGTGTAGTGTGTGAGGGTCCAGTGTGCGAGGGTGTAGTGTGTGAGGGTCCAGTGTGCGAGGGTCCAGTGTGTGAGGGTCCAGTGTGTGAGGGTGTAGTGTGCGAGAGTCCAGTGTGCGAGGGTCTAGTGTGCGAGGGTGTAGTGTGCGAGGGTCCAGTGTGCGAGAGTCCAGTGTGCGAGGGTCCAGTGTGCGAGGGTGTAGTGTGCGAGGGTCCAGTGTGCGAGAGTCCAGTGTGCGAGGGTCCAGTGTGCGAGGGTGTAGTGTGCGAGGGTCCAGTGTGCGAGGGTCCAGTGTGCGAGGTCCAGTGTGCGAGGTCCAGTGTGCGAGGTCCAGTGTGCGAGGGTCCAGTGTGTGTGAGGGTCCAGTGTGCGAGGGTCCAGTGTGTGAGGGTCCAGTGTGTGTGTAGTGTGCGAGAGTCCAGTGTGCGAGGGTCCAGTGTGCGAGGGTGTAGTGTGTGAGGGTCCAGTGTGCGAGGGTGTAGTGTGAGGTCAGTGTGCGAGGGTCCAGTGTGTGAGGGTCCAGTGTGTGAGGGTGTAGTGTGCGAGAGTCCAGTGTGCGAGGGTCTAGTGTGCGAGGGTGTAGTGTGCGAGGGTCCAGTGTGCGAGAGTCCAGTGTGCGAGGGTCCAGTGTGCGAGGGTGTAGTGTGCGAGGGTCCAGTGTGCGAGAGTCCAGTGTGCGAGGGTCCAGTGTGCGAGGGTCCAGTGTGCGAGGGTCTAGTGCAGGAGTGGGCAAACTACGGCCCGGGGGCTGTATGTGGCCCTTTAAACCTTTTAATCCGGCCGCCGAACTGGTAATAAATTACAATAATGAACCTTGTTGATGTTTTATTTGTCATGCATTAAGTTTTGTGACACAACGTCTGTTAAGTTCTTGTCTTTGCTTTTTACTAAATCAAAATGGAAGCAGTGCAAGGTTATAGCTTCACCACTACTTCACTCATGGTCCGAATAACTCCTGTAAGAACACTTTCCCATAAAGCACAGTGGCCAACATAATACACCGCACCTCAATGTGTGTATATATATATATATATATATATATATATATATATATATATATATATATATATATATATATATATATATATATATATATAGTGCGCCATCTACTGGGAAACGCCGGAAATGCATGACAAATAAAACATCAACAAGGTTTATTATTGTAATTTATTCCAGTTCGGCGGCCGGATTAAAAGGTTTAAAGGGCCGCATACAGCCCCCGGGCCGTAGTTTGCCCACCCCTGGTCCAATTTGTGAGGGTCCCGTGTGCGAGGGTCCAGTGTGCAAGAGTCCAGTGTGCGAGGGTCCAGTGTGCGAGAGTCCAGTGTGCGAGAGTCCAGTGTGCGAGAGTCCAGTGTGCGAGGATCCAGTGTGCGAGGGTGTAGTGTGCGAGAGTCCAGTGTGCGAGGGTCCAGTGTGCGAGGGTCCAGTGTGCGAAGTCCAGTGTGCGAGGGTCCAGTGTGCGAGGTCCAGTGTGCGAGTCCAGTGTGCGTCCAGTGTGCGAGGTCCAGTGTGCGAGGGTCCAGTGTGCGAAGGGTCCAGTGTGCGAGGTCCAGTGTGCGAGGGTCCAGTGTGCGAGGGTCCAGTGTGCGAGGGTCCAGTGTGCGAGGGTCCAGTGTGCGAAGGTCCAGTGTGCGAGGGTCCAGTGTGCGAGGGTCCAGTGTGTGACACACTTACGCAGTTGTGAGCTTCTGTAGCGTCGGATCGTTCGCACCATCTCTGCCACTTTGTGCTGAAACAGGAAACAGGAAATGCTCCGTTATGATCTTGGTAGGAATCCTGTGTCATGTGTGTCTGGGTCCACCTCCTCTCTGTGAAACCAGGACTAAACCAGGACTAAACCAGGACTAAACCAGGACTAAACCAGGACTAAACCAGGACTCACCATCTTCTCAAAGTTGACCAGGTCTCCGTGGAAGGTCTTGCAGCTCTCGTGGAGGAAGGTGAGGTCTGGAACAGAAACACGGTCAGAGCCTCCAGAGGGTCTGACAGGGACAGAGGACAGAGAGGACAGAGGACACACACACAGAGAGGACAGAGGGACACACACACAGAGAGGGGGACAGAGGGACACACAGAGGGGACACACAGAGAGGACAGAGGGACACACACAGAGAGGACAGAGGGACACACAGAGGGACACACAGAGAGGGACACACAGAGAGGGACACACAGAGAGGACAGAGGGACACACAGAGAGGGACACACAGAGAGGACAGAGGGACACACAGAGAGGGACACACAGAGAGGACAGAGGGGACACACACACAGAGAGGACAGAGGGACACGAGGGACACACAGAGAGGGACACACAGAGAGGACAGAGGGACACACAGAGAGGACAGAAGGACACACAGAGAGGACAGAGGGACACACAGAGGGACACACAGAGAGGACAGAGGGACACACAGACAGAGAGGGGGACACACAGAGAGGGGACAGAGGGGACACACACACAGAGAGGGGGACAGAGGGACACACAGAGAGAGGGGACACACACAGAGAGGACAGAGGGACACACACACAGAGAGGGGGACAGAGGGACACACAGAGAGGGGGACAGAGGGACACACAGGGACACACAGAGAGAGGGACACACAGAGAGGACAGAGGGACACACACACAGAGAGGACAGAGGGACACACACACAGAGAGGGGGACAGAGGGACACACACACAGAGAGGACAGAGGGACACACACAGAGAGGACAGAGGACACACAGAGGACACACAGAGAGGACAGAGGGACACACAGAGAGGGGGACAGTACCTTTGAGCAGCAGGGGGGTGAAGGGGATGAGTGGAGGTCTGAGCGTCTGGAGCAGGTCTCTGTACGACTTATGATTACGAGACGGGTCCTGAAAACACACACACACACACACACAACATACACGTGAGCGTGCACAGACACGTGTGTGTGTGTTGTGTGTTGTGTGTGTGTGTGTGTGTGTGTGTGTGTGTTGTGTGTGTGTGTGTATATGTGTTGTGTGTGTGTGTATATGTGTTGTGTGTGTGTGTGTGTGTGTGTGTGTGTGTGTGTGTGTGTGTGTGTGTGTGTGTGTGTGTGTGTGTGTGTGTGTGTGTGTGTGTGTGTGTGTGTGTGTGTGTGTGTGTGTGTGTGTGTGTGTGTGTGTGTGTGTGTGTGTGTGTGTGTGTGTGTGTGTGTGTGTGTGTGTGTGTGTGTGTGTGTGTGTGTGTGTGTGTGTGTGTGTGTGTGTGTGTGTGTGTGTGTGTGTGTGTGTGTGTGTGTGTGTGTGTGTGTGTGTGTGTGTGTGTGTGTGTGTGTGTGTGTGTGTGTGTGTGTGTGTGTGTGTGTGTGTGTTGTGTGTGTGTGTGTTGTGTGTGTGTGTGTTGTGTGTGTGTGTTACTCACAGCGAGACTCTCAAACTGCTGGAACTGTTTTCGGAACTTTCCCGGTAAACCCTGAAATACACAAGAATTAAACCAGGACTAGACCAGGTCTAGACCAGGACTAGACCAGGTCTAGACCAGGTCTAGACCAGGACTAGACCAGGACTAGACCAGGTCTAGACCTGGTCTAGTCCTGGTCTAGAGGACTCGGGTCAGTACCTCCCAGGTGAGGCGCAGTCGACTCAGAGCTGGATTGTCCAAACCCAGAACCACAGCGAGAAACGACAGAAGATCCTGCTGCTGTTTACACCTGAAATACACAAAGTACTACAGTACTACAGTACTACAGTACTGCTGTTTACACCTGAAATACACAAAGTACTACAGTACTACAGTACTACAGTACTACAGTACTGCTGTTTACACCTGAAATACACAAAGTACTACAGTACTACAGTACTACAGTACTGCTGTTTACACCTGAAATACACAAAGTACTACAGTACTACAGTACTACAGTACTGCTGTTTACACCTGAAATACACAAAGTACTACAGTACTACAGTACTACAGTACTGCTGTTTACACCTGAAATACACAAAGTACTACAGTACTACAGTACTACAGTACTGCTGTTTACACCTGAAATACACAAAGTACTACAGTACTACAGTACTACAGTACTGCTGTTTACACCTGAAATACACAAAGTACTACAGTACTACAGTACTACAGTACTGCTGTTTACACCTGAAATACACAAAGTACTACAGTACTACAGTACTACAGTACTGCTGTTTACACCTGAAATACACAAAGTACTACAGTACTACAGTACTGCTGTTTACACCTGAAATACACAAAGTACTACAGTACTACAGTACTGCTGTTTACACCTGAAATACACAAAGTACTACAGTACTACAGTACTGCTGTTTACACCTGAAATACACAAAGTACTACAGTACTACAGTACTGCTGTTTACACCTGAAATACACACTACAGTACTACAGTACTACAGTACTGCTGTTTACACCTGAAATACACAAAGTACTACAGTACTACAGTACTGCTGTTTACACCTGAAATACACAAAGTACTGCAGTACACACAGTACTACTGTACACACAGTACTGCAGTACAGGGGAGTACTGTTACTCACAGGCAGTACTATTACTGCAGTACACGAGAGTGACTGCTGCCCCCCTGTGGCCACTGTGCAGCAACACACCAAGAGTACTACAGAAGAAGTACTCATAGTACTCTGTACTTTACAGCTACTACAGTATGGTAAGAGAAGTACTCATCAGTAGTAGAACTACAGTACTGCAGTAGAAGTACAGTAGTAAAAGTACTCAAAGAGCTGCAGTACTATAGTAGTTATATTAGTAAACGTACTCACAGCGCTGCAGTAGTACTGTAGTAGTATTAATACTCTAGTAGTAGTATTTGTAGTATTTGTAGTACTCACAGCGCTGCAGTAGTACTGTCATAGTAGTATTAGTACTGTAGTAGTAGTAGTATTAGTAATAGTAGTAGTAGTAGTAGTACAGTACAGTAGAAGTACTCACAGTGCTGCAGTAATACTGTAGTATTTGTACTATTTGTAGTATTTGCAGTACTCACAGTGCTGCGATCTTGATGAACTTGCGCAGTAGTTGTACTCTCTTGGGGAGACTCTGACACTGAAGTACTTCAGTACAAACCCACGACTGTACTTCACTGCAGCGCTGCAGTACCAGCTCCAGGTTCAGGGGGCGCCACCGAGACTGTTCCCCATGAAACACATAACACACGAACTCCACCTGAAGAAGAACCAGCACACCCTGAGTACTACACAAAGTACACAACAAGTACTACACAAAGTACACAACAAGTACTACACAAAGTACAAGTACACACAAGTACTACACAAAGTACACAAGTACTACACAAATATACACAAAGTACACAACAAGTACTACACAAAGTACACAACAAGTACTACACAAATATACGAGTACTACACTACACAAATATACGAGTACTACACAAAGTACACAACAAGTACTACTACTACACATAAGTACACTACACACAAGTACTACACAACTACTACACAAATACTACACACAAGACAAGTACTACACAAATAAGTACTACACAAAGTACACAACAAGTACTACACACAAATATACGAGTACTACACAAAGTACACAACAAGTACTACACAAAATATACGAGTACTACTACACAAAGTACACAAACAAGTACTACACAATATACGAGTACTACACAAAGTACACAACAAGTACTACACAAAAATACTACGAAGTACTACACAAAGTACACAACAAGTACTACACACACTACACAAACATACGAGTACTACACAAAGTACACAACAAGTACTACACAAATATACAACGAGTACTACACAAATATACGACAAGTACTACACAAAGTACACAACAAGTACTACACAAAGTACACAACAAGTACTACACAAATATACGACAAGTACTACACAAATATACAACGAGTACTACACAAAGTACACGACGAGTACTACACAAATATACAACAAGTACTACACAAAGTACACGACGAGTACTACACAAATATACACGAGTACTACACCAAAGTACACGACGAGTACTACACAAAGTACACACAACAAGTACTACACAAATATACAACGAGTACTACACACAAAGTACACGACGAGTACTACACAAAGTACACACAACAAGTACTACACGAATATACGACGAGTACTACACAAAGTACACAACAAGTACTACACAAATATACAACGAGTACTACACAAAGTACACGACGAGTATTACACAAATATACAACGAGTACTACACAAAGTACACGATGAGTACTACACAAATATACAACAAGTACTACACAAAGTACACGACGAGTACTACACAAATATACGACGAGTACTACACAAAGTACATGACGAGTACTACACAAATATACAACGAGTACTACACAAATATACAACGAGTACTACACAAATATACAACGAGTACTACACAAATATACAACGAGTACTACACAAAGTACACAGTGAGTACTACACAAATATACAACGAGTACTACACAAATATACAACGAGTACTACACAAATATACAACGAGTACTACACAAATATACATCGAGTACTACACAAATATACAACAAATACTACACAAAGTACATAACAAATACTGCAGAACAACACAAGCAGACAGGAGCAGACAGGTGCAGACAGAAGCAGACAGGTGCAGACAGGAACTGACAGGTGCAGACAGGAGCAAGCGGGTACAGACAGGAGAAGACAGGTGCAGACAGACAGGTGCAGACAGGAGCAGACAGGTGCAGACAGGTGCAGACAGGTGCAGACAGGTGCAGACAGGTGCAGACAGGTGTAGACAGGTGCAGGCAGGTGCAGACAGGTGCAGGCAGGTGCAGGCAGGAGCAGACAGGTGCAGGCAGGTGCAGACAGGTGTAGACAGGTGCAGGCAAGTGCAGACAGGTGCAGGCAGGTGCAGGCAGGTGCAGACCTCGTGGACGCAGGTGAACAGTTCCCAGTCGAACGTGACCAGTTGGTTGGACACTTCCTCCGCCGACATGTCGTGAAGTTTAGAGTCTCCAGGACTCCAGTGGATCTCCTCCGGGAGGGGCATCTGACGCAAAGTACACACAGTAAATACACACAGTACACACAGTAANTGAAGAAGAACCAGCACACCCTGAGTACTACACAAAGTACACAACAAGTACTACACAAAGTACACAACAAGTACTACACAAATATACGAGTACTACACAAAGTACACAACAAGTACTACACAAATATACGAGTACTACACAAAGTACACAACAAGTACTACACAAATATACGAGTACTACACAAAAGTACTACACAAGTACACACAGTACACACAAAGTACTACACAAAGTACTACACACAATATACGAGTACTACAACAAAGTACACAACAAGTACTACACAAAGTACTACACAAACAAACAAGTACTACAACAGTACTACACAAATATACGAGTACTACACAAAGTACACAACAAGTACTACACAAATATACGAGTACTACACAAAGTACACAACAAGTACTACACAAATATACGAGTACTACACAAAGTACACAACAAGTACTACACAAAGTACACAACAAGTACTACACAAATATACGAGTACTACACAAAGTACACAACAAGTACTACACAAAGTACACAACAAGTACTACACAAATATACGAGTACTACACAAAGTACACAACAAGTACTACACAAATATACGAGTACTACACAAAGTACACAACAAGTACTACACAAATATATGAGTACTACACAAAGTACACAACAAGTACTACACAAAGTACACAACAAGTACTACACAAATATACGAGTACTACACAAAGTACACAACAAGTACTACACAAACATACGAGTACTACACAAAGTACACAACAAGTACTACACAAATATACAACGAGTACTACACAAATATACGACAAGTACTACACAAAGTACACAACAAGTACTACACAAAGTACACAACAAGTACTACACAAATATACGACAAGTACTACACAAATATACAACGAGTACTACACAAAGTACACGACGAGTACTACACAAATATACAACAAGTACTACACAAAGTACACGACGAGTACTACACAAATATACGAGTACTACACAAAGTACACGACGAGTACTACACAAAGTACACAACAAGTACTACACAAATATACAACGAGTACTACACAAAGTACACGACGAGTACTACACAAAGTACACAACAAGTACTACACGAATATACGACGAGTACTACACAAAGTACACAACAAGTACTACACAAATATACAACGAGTACTACACAAAGTACACGACGAGTATTACACAAATATACAACGAGTACTACACAAAGTACACGATGAGTACTACACAAATATACAACAAGTACTACACAAAGTACACGACGAGTACTACACAAATATACGACGAGTACTACACAAAGTACACGACGAGTACTACACAAATATACAACGAGTACTACACAAATATACAACGAGTACTACACAAATATACAACGAGTACTACACAAATATACAACGAGTACTACACAAAGTACACAGTGAGTACTACACAAATATACAACGAGTACTACACAAATATACAACGAGTACTACACAAATATACAACGAGTACTACACAAATATACATCGAGTACTACACAAATATACAACAAAATACTACACAAAGTACATAACAAATACTGCAGAACAACACAAGCAGACAGGAGCAGACAGGTGCAGACAGGAACTGAGACAGGAACTGACAGGTGCAGACAGGAGCAAGCGGGTACAGACAGGAGAAGACAGGTGCAGACAGACAGGTGCAGACAGGAGCAAGCGGGTGCAGACAGGTGCAGACAGGTGCAGACAGGTGTAGACAGGTGCAGACAGGTGCAGACAGGTGCAGACAGGTGCAGGCAGGTGCAGACAGGTGCAGGCAGGTGCAGGCAGGAGCAGACAGGTGCAGGCAGGTGCAGACAGGTGTAGACAGGTGCAGGCAAGTGCAGACAGGTGCAGGCAGGTGCAGGCAGGCAGGTGCAGACAGGTGCAGACCTCGTGGACGCAGGTGAACAGTTCCCAGTCGAACGTGACCAGTTGGTTGGACACTTCCTCCGCCGACATGTCGTGGAGTTTAGAGTCTCCAGGACTCCAGTGGATCTCCTCCGGGAGGGGCATCTGACGCAAAGTACACACAGTAAATACACACAGTACACACAGTACACACAGTAAGTACACACAGTACACAGGTCAGAGTACTGCACAGGAAAAGTACATAGAGTACACATGTAGAAGTACTCAGACTACTCCAGAGTCACAGAAACACAAACACCAGGTCCAGGTCTGGGTCCAGGTCGGGTTCAGGTCTGGGTCCAGGTCTGGGTCCAGGTCTGGGTCCAGGTCCGGGTCCGGGTCCAGGTCCAGCAGTACTCACCAGAGTGTCGAGTTCTCGGGGTTCGCAGGTGAACAGGTGAGTGTTTACGCCCAGAGTCGTGAAAACAGCTTCATCTGACGGACGGAAAACCACTTTTTCTGAAACCACAAACATGACTGAGACCGGGACTAGACCGGGACTAGACCGGGACTAGACCGGGACTAGACCAGGACTGAAGCGGGTCTTACCTCCGGCCGAGGACACGGCCACCAGGACCAGGTGTCCCGGCAGGACGGGCTGGTCTTCGCTGTACTGGAGCTTCTCTCGGACCAGAGCCAAGATCTCACCGACTTTACACGAGAGTCGACTCCGGATCGTCACGTACGAGTGATCAGGAGTGTAGACCCTGCAGAAGACTGACACGGACCAGGACTCAGACCGGGACTCAGACCGGGACTCAGACCGAGACTCAGACCGGGACTCAGACCGGGACTCAGACCGAGACTCAGACCGAGACTCAGACCGGGACTCAGACCGAGACTCAGACCGAGACTCAGACCGGACTCAGACCGGGACTCAGACCGGGACTCAGACCGAGACTCAGACCGGGACTCAGACCGGGACTCAGACCGAGACTCAGACCGAGACTCAGACCGAGACTCAGACCGGGACTCAGACCGAGACTCAGACCGGGACTCAGACCGACTCAGACTCAGACTCGAGACTCAGACCGAGACTCAGACCGGGACTCAGACCGGGACTCAGACCGACTCAGACTCAGACCGAGACTCAGACCGACTCAGACCGAGACTCAGACCGACTCAGACCGGACTCAGACCGACTCAGACCGGGACTCAGACCGGGACTCAGACCGGGACTCAGACCGAGACTCAGACCGAGACTCAGACCGGGACTCAGACCGAGACTCAGACCGGGACTCAGACCAGAGACTCAGACCGAGACTCAGACCGAGACTCAGACCGGGACTCAGACCGGGACTCAGACCGGGACTCAGACCGAGACTCAGACCGACTCAGACCGACTCAGACCGACTCAGGACCGGGACTCAGACCGACTCAGACCGGGACTCAGACCGGGACTCAGACCGAGACCAGACCAGACCGACCGGACTCAGACCGAGGACTCAGACCGAGACTCAGACCGGGACTCAGACCGAGACTCAGACCGAGACTCAGACCGAGACTCAGACCGAGACTCAGACCGGACTCAGACTCAGGACTCAGACCGACTCAGACCGGACTCAGACCGAGACTCAGACCGAGACTCAGACCGAGACTCAGACCGGACTCAGACCGAGACTCAGACCGAGACCGACTCAGACCGAGACTCAGACCTTCAGACCGGGACTCAGACCGACTCAGACCGACTCAGGACCGACCAGGACTCAGACCGGGACTCAGACCGGACTCAGACCGGGACCACTCAGACCGGGACAAGGACCAGGATCAGGACCAGGACCGGGATCAGGACTCAGACCGAGACCAGGACCAGGATCGGGACCAGGACCGGTTTGGCTCATGGGCACAAAAATAATTTTCTCTTCCACATTTATTTCCTGAATCCAGACTCCTCCCACCGTGTGACGTCTGTAACGTGTGCGGAGTGGAGCATTTGGACCAATCAGAGCGCGGCGTGGAGCGTTTGGACCAATCAGAGCGCGGAGTGGAGCGTTTGGACCAATCAGTGCGCGGCGTGGAGCGTTTGGACCAATCAGAGCGCGGAGTGGAGCGTTTGGACCAATCAGAGCGCGGAGTGGAGACACGAGGATTTAGTTTGCAGGACTGAGATTTATCTTCTCACCTGCCCACGCCCGCTCCTGCCCGCTCCTGCCCGCTCCTGCCCGCTCCTGCCCGCTCCTGCCCGCTCCTGCCCGCTCCTGCCCACAATGAGCTTTCACTGTTTTGCGTCAGGTCGTCGTGCAGAACTGTAATCAACAGGATCCTGGACCAGGTCTGGGTCAGATCTACTGTACAGCAGGACTAAACCAGGACTAAACCAGGACTGAACCAGGTCTAAACCAGGTCTAAACCAGGTCTAAACCAGGACTAAACCAGGACTAAACCAGGTCTAAACCAGGACTAAACCAGGACTAAACCAGGACTAAACCAGGACTAACCAGGACTAAACCAGGACTAAACCAGGACTAAACCAGGACTAAACCAGGACTAAACCAGGACTAAACCAGGTCTAAACCAGGACTAAACCAGGACTAAACCAGGACTAAACCAGGACTAAACCAGGACTAAACCAGGACTAAACCAGGTCTAAACCAGACTACCAGGTCCAGGAAAACCAGGACTAAACCAGGACTAAACCAGGACTAAACCAGGACTAACCAGGACTAAACAGGACAAACCAGGACTGACTGAACCAGGACTAAACCAGGACTAAACCAGGACTAAACCAGGTCTAAACCAGGTAAACCAGAAACCAGGACTAAACCAGGACTAAACCAGGACTGAACCAGGTAAACCAGGACTAACCAGGAAACTAAACCAGGACTAACCAGGACTAAACCAGGACTAACCAGGACTAAACCAGGACTAAACCAGGAAACCAGGTCTAAACCAGGACTAAACCAGGACTAAACCAGGACTAAACCAGGACTAAACCAGGTCTAAACCAGGACTAACCAGGACTGAACCAGGACTAAACCAGGACTGAACCAGGTCTAAACCAGGATGAACCAGGACTAAACCAGGTCTAAACCAGGTCTAAACCAGGACTAAACCAGGACTGAACAGGACTAAACCAGGACTAACCAGGTCTAAACCTAAACTAAACCAGGACTAAACCAAACCAGGACTGAACCAGGTCTAAACCAGGTCTAAACCAGGACTGAACCAGGACTAAAGGACTAAACCAGGTCTAAACCAGGACTAAACCAGGACTGAACCAGGACTAAACCAGGACTAAACCAGGACTAAACCAGGACTAAACCCAGGAACTGAACCAGGTCTAACCAGGACTGAAAGGACTAAACAGGTCTAAACCAGGACTAAACCAGGACTAAACCAGGACTAACCAGGACTAACCAGGACTAAACCAGGTCTAAACCAGGTCTAAACCAGGACTAAACCAGGACTAAACCAGGACTGAACCAGGACTGAACCAGGACTAAACAGGAAACAAAACCAGGACTGAACCAGGTCTAAACCAGACTAAACCAGGACTAAACCAGGACTAAACCAGGACTAAACCAGGACTAAACCAGGACTAAACCAGGACTAAACCAGGACTAAACCAGGACTAAACCAGGACTAACCCAGGACTGAAACCAGACTAACCAGACTAACAGGACTAAACCAGGACTAAACCAGGTCTAAACCAGGACTGAACCAGGACTAAACCAGGACTAAACCAGGACTAAACCAGGACTAAACCAGGACTGAACCAGGACTAAACCAGGACTGAAACCAGGACTGAACCAGGACTGAACCAGGACTAAACCAGGACTAAACCAGGTCTAAACCAGGACTAAACCAGGACTAAACCAGGACTGAACCAGGACTAAACCAGGACTAAACCAGGTCTAAACCAGGACTGAACCAGGACTAAACCAGGACTAAACCAGGTCTAAACCAGGACTAAACCAGGACTGAAAACCAGGACTAAACCAGGACTGAACCAGGACTAAACCAGAAACCAGGACTAAACCAGGACTAAACCAGGACTAAACCAGGACTAAACCAGGACTAAACCAGGACTAAACCAGGACTAAACCAGGACTAAACCAGGACTAAACCAGGACTAAACCAGGACTAAACCAGGAAAGAACCAGGACTAAACCAGGACTAAACCAGGACTAAACCAGGACTAAACCAGGACTGAACCAGGACTAAAACCAGGAAAGAACCAGGACTAAACCAGGACTAAACCAGGAAAGAACCAGGACTAAACCAGGCTAAACCAGGTCTAAACCAGGACTAACCAGGACTAAACCAGGACTAAACCAGGACTAAACCAGGACTTAAACCAGGACTAAACCAGGACTAACCCAGGACTAAAACCAGAACTAAACCAGGTCTAAACCAGGACTGAACCAGGACTGAACCAGGACTAAACCAGGACTGAAACCAGGTCTAAACCAGGACTAAACCAAAACCAGACTAAACCAGGACTAAACCAGGACTAAACCAGGACTAACCAGGACTAACCAGGTCTAAACCAGGACTAAACCAGGACTAAACCAGGACTAAACCAGGAAAACCAAACCAGGACTAAACCAGGACTAAACCAGGTCTAAACCAGGACTAAACCAGGACTAAACCAGGACTAAAGGGTCTTACTCTCGTCGGAGCCCCTGAACGCCTCTCGCGGCTGCAGACAGGCGTCGATTCGTCTGAAGTGTCGGAACAAGGGTCGCACCTGTCGCTTCCGACTCTCCTTCTCCTCCTCGCACCTGCCACAGAACAGCCAATCAGAACACAGAAGACAACAGCCAATCAGAACACAGAAGACAACAGCCAATCAGAACACAGAAGAGAACAGCCAATCAGAACACAGAAGACAACAGCCAATCAGAACACAGAAGACAACAGCCAATCAGAACACAGAAGACAACAGCCAATCAGAACACAGAAGACAACAGTCAAGCTCAGGTCTGTCTCAGGTCTGTCTCAGGACTAACTCAGGTCTGTCTCAGGACTGTCTCAGGACTAACTCAGGTCTGTCTCAGGTCTGTCTCAGGTCTGTCTCAGGTCTCAGGTCTGTCTCAGGACTGTCTCAGGTCTGTCTCAGGACTGTCTCAGGTCTGTCTCAGGTCTGTCTCAGGACTGTCTCAGGTCTGTCTCAGGTCTGTCTCAGGTCTGTCTCAGGACTGTCTCAGGTCTGTCTCAGGACTCTCAGGTCTGTCTCAGGTCTCTCAGGTCTGTCTCAGGTCTGTCTCAGGTCTGTCTCAGGTCTGTCTCAGGTCTGTCTCAGGTCTGTCTCAGGACTAACTCAGGTCTGTCTCAGGTCTGTCTCAGGTCTCAGGTCTCTCAGGACTGTCAGGTCTGTCTCAGGACTGCTTCTCAGGTCTCTCAGGTCTGTCTCAGGTCTGTCTCAGGTCTGTCTCAGGACTGTCTCAGGTCTGTCTCAGGACTCTGTCTCAGGTCTGTCTCAGGACTCAGGTCTATCTCAGGTCTGTCTCAGGTCTGTCTCAGGTCTGTCTCAGGGACTGTCTCAGGACTCACTAACTCAGGTCTGTCTCAGGTCTGGTCTGTCTCAGGTCTCAGGACTATCTAGGTCTGTCTCAGGACTGTCTCAGGTCTGTCTCAGGTCTGTCTCAGGACTGTCTCAGGACTAACTCAGGTCTGTCTCAGGTCTGTCTCAGGAGGACTGTCTCAGGTCTGTCTCAGGACTGTCTCAGGTCTGTCTGGTCTCAGGTCTGTCTCAGGTAGGTCTCAGGACTCTGTCTCTCAGGACTCTGTCTGTCTCAGTCAGGTCTGTCTCAGGACTATCTCAGTCTCAGGACTAGGACTGTCTCAGGTCTCAGGTGTCTCAGGTCTCAGGTCAGGTCTGTCTCAGGACTATCTCAGGTCTGTCTCAGGTCTGTCTCTCAGGACTGTCTCAGGACTAGGACTCTCAGGTCTGTCCTCAGGACTGTCTGTCTCTGTCTCAGGACTGTCTCAGGTCTGTCTCAGGTCTGTCTCAGGTCTGTCTCAGGACTCTCAGGTCTCACTGTCTCAGGTCTCAGTCTCAGGTCTGTCTCACTGGTCTCTCAGGACTCTCAGTCTCAGGACTAGGACTCTCAGGTCTGTCTCAGGACTGTCTCAGGACTGTCTCAGGACTGTCTCAGGACTGGTCTCTCAGGACTGTCTCAGGTCTGTCTCAGGACTCTCAGTCTCAAGGTCTGTCTCAGGACTGTCTCAGGTCTGTCTCAGGACTGTCTCAGGTCTGGTCTCAGGTCTCAGGTCTCAGGGAACTGTCTCAGGACTAACTCAGGACTGTCTCAGTCTGTCTCAGGTCTCAGGGCTCTCAGTCTGTCTCAGGTCTGTCTCAGGACTAGGACTCAGGGTCTGTCTCAGGTCTGTCTCAGGTCTGTCTCAGGTCTGTCTCAGGTCTCAGGTCTGTCTCAGGTCTGTCTCAGGACTCAGGACTATCTGAGGACTGTCTCAGGTCTGTCTCAGGTCTGTCTCAGGTCTGTCTCAGGTCTGTCTCAGGTCTCAGGACTGTCTCAGGTCTGTCTCAGGTCTGTCTCAGGACTGTCTCAGGTCTCAGGTCTCAGGTCTGTCTCAGGACTCTGTCAGGACTCAGGTCTCAGTCTCAGGACTGTCTCAGGTCTGTCTCAGGTCTGTCTCAGGTCTGTCTCAGGTCTGTCTCAGGACTCAGGTCTGTCTCAGGTCTGTCTCAGGTCTGTCTCAGGACTCAGGTCTGTCTCAGGACTCAGGTCTCAGGTCTGTCTCAGGGTCTGTCTGTCTCAGGTCTGTCTCAGGACTCAGGTCTGTCTCAGGTCTGTCTCAGGTCTGTCTCTCAGGTCTGTCTCAGGACTCAGGTCTGTCTCAGGTCTGTCTCAGGTCTGTCTCAGGACTCAGGTCTGTCTCAGGTCTGTCTCAGGACTCTCAGGTCTCAGGTCTGTCTCACTCAGGACTCTCTCAGGTCTGTCTCAGGTCTCAGTCTCAGGTCTCACTCAGTCTGTCTCTCAGGTCTGTCTCAGGACTCTGTCTCAGTCTGTCTCAGGTCTGTCTCAGGTCTGTCTCAGGACTCAGGTCTGTCTCAGGTCTGTCTCAGGACTCAGGTCTGTCTCAGGTCTGTCTCAGGACTCAGGTCTGTCTCAGGTCTGTCTCAGGACTCAGGTCTGTCTCAGGTCTGTCTCACTCAGGTCTGTCAGGACTCTGTGAGGACTTACGGGTTGTGGAGGATCTCCGTCCATCTCTGGAGTTTGAGAACATCCTCCACAAGTTCAGGAAAACGACTCAGGTCCTGAACCGCACTGAGATACAACTCCTGAAACACAGAGAGAAAGAGAAAAGAGAAAAGAGAAAAGAGAGAAAAGAGAAAAGAGAGAAAAGAGAGAAAAGAGAGAAAAGAGAAAAGAGAAAAAAGAAAAAAGAGAAAAGAGAAAAGAGAGAAAAGAGAAG